CAAACATTGTCTTCTTTGTCTTTGACATATTTCTAGAAATTTTCTACCTATACTTGATTAGATCGAATGCCTCAGTTGTGCAGCTGCATTTGAAGAAGCAAAACAATTGCTCAAACAATTTGTACGCCATCATGTGACTGTATAGACCTTGTACAGTTAGTGTCCGTCGAATATTTGAGGGAACACTTACGCTTCTTTCTGAGGTTTCTCAGAAATGGCTCGGTTAAAGATCATGAAACTTTCAAGGCAGATCGATGTGAATAAGTAGAGCAAAAGTTGTCATAGACAAAGAAACTCTTAGATAGTCTCTTCAAGAACATATGGGAGTTGCAAAGGTCAAAAGTGGTAGGAAGTTCCTGTCCTAGGCAAAAGTCTACACTTAATTTTTTCCAGCTGTAATTTTCATGGCGACTAGGATCAAATTGAAATTTGTTTCTTTTCTCTCTTGCAAAAGTATTGTACCTAGCGCTTAAGAGCCACTGCACGAGAACCACGACCAGAGCTGCTCAATCGATAATCGCAAATCGAGATGGGAGTTATCCCATCTTGTAGAGGACATTTTTTTAGGCATAAATCCAAATTTTTAGCGCTAAAGCTTGAATTTTGGTTGAGATACGAAATGCCGACTGAAAGGCGCCAAAATGCCTTTTTATCAATTTTTCATTTTTTTGGCTCGCCGGCAACCATCAGTATTGATACAATGTCTCTTCACCAGAATGTGAGAGAGACCTGAAATTTTTACCAGAGATAGAGCTCACCACGGAGAACATAACCAGTCTATTTAATAAGAGATATGTTGCGAAAAAGTATTATCCCCATTTCTAACCGTAGTCTCAATATAGGCCCAAAAGAGGTCCATCTTGTGAATTCGATTTCTCCTGATCAGCTTGATCAATTTTACTCAAACTTTTTTTGCAAAGACTACTATCCTAGTACTACACGCCAATGTGATCAGAAATTTTGGATCTTGAAATTAGCCCTAAAAATGATGAACCTCAAAATACTGATATTTCTCTGGTATCATAGAGCAAGTGGGACCCGTGTGGTTTTGAGAAAATTCAGAAAGCAAAGATCGTTTGGCCTGAAACTTTCAGCAATTATAGAGGTCAATAATAGTAATAAGTTCTACAATTTTCGTCCTGATTGGTAAACATTTTCCTTTATTTCGATAATTCGCTCTTTAGTCATTATCAATGGTCTCAAAGTTCACTATATGAAAAAAATGATTTCACAAATTTTTGAGCAGTTCTTATGCAACAGAGATGGGACCGGTTCGGTTTTTAACCGAACCGAACCGACCGACCGTAACCGAAATCGGTTCGGTTGGAGATTTTTAGAGAATTCGGTCGGTTACGTTCGGTTCGGTTAGAGACTTTTTCGGTTACGGTCGGTTCGGTTAGAAATTTTAAAAAATTCGGTCGGTTATGTTCGGTTCGGTTAGAAAGAATCAACATAATCATTTCATTTGAGTTCAATGGACTTTTTCAGTGAAACATAAGAAGAAAAAAGAATATAATCGTACAACAACTAGCTGTTGCTCGCAACGCGGATTATCTCACATATTTTTAAAATTTGCCCTGAGAGGTAAGGAAGTTATAATACAGTAAGAAGATCCAATAAATAATCTTTATTCTTTGCTTTCTCTAAGTGTTCATTATTTTTAGTTGCTATTATTTGGTTTGTTGTTGCTAATTTATAAAGCACTAATACCCTAACTAAAATAAGCTAAACTTCGCTTTCTCTAAACTCGGTTCGATTACGAAATTTTTGAAATTCGGTCGGTTACGGTCGGTTCGGTTAGAAATTTTTAAATATTCGGTCGGTTACATTCGGTTCGGTTAGAGATTTTTTCGGTTACGGTCGGTTCGGTTAGAA